GCCCGGGGGGGGGGGGGGGGGGGAGGCAGCTTTTGTGGCTCCCACTTCAGCCGTGAGCCTGGGTTGGGGCCAGAGTCAGACCCACAGCAGCTGTTTGTCCCCCTCCCCATGCCTCGTGAAGCCTCTGACCCACTGGTGGCAGGTGCAGCCAGGCACAGAGCACATGGGACTCTGCTGTGCGCCCCAGGAGGGGGAGGGGGGGGGGGGCTGCGCTTCCATGTGCTCCTATGCTCCGGTGAGGGACCAGGGCCCAAGCAGCTCTGACAGTGGGGTGGAAAGAGGCTGCCTTGCCCCTTTTCAGGATCTGCCTTGGCCCCTGCGGTGCAGACTCCCGGGCACTACTTGTTTAGTTGCACTGGGCCATGCCAGGCCGGGCAGTTTACTATGCTCTGCCCACCCCTTCCTGCCCCAGTTACGTCTGCAGCATTTGGCACCTCTTACAGTGCCCGCCCTGGCCAGCGCCACGCCAGTGCCCAGCAACTGTTCTGGGCAGCTGCTGCACTCCAGCCCAACCTGGGCCTCCAGTGAGGGGATGGGGGTATGTCCGGGGTCTCCCCAGCTCATGGGAGGGAACCCAGGTGTCCAGGAGCCCTGGCTCCGTGGGCAAGAGAACCCAGGTGTCTGGGGGCCTTGGCCAGAAGGCACAAGTATTGGAGAACCCTGTCGGCTAGAAGGGCCAAAAAAGCCAATAGCCAATAATGTAAATTTCCCTCTTATCCATACTGATCTGGTACGGACTGATTTTATATCAGTGCACCTCTAACCGCAAGCAGTCTTTTAAAGAAAGTGCTCATTAGAGAAGAAATTAAGACTTTTTGGATTATTGACCAATCCCTTTGTCAGAGATATCTTGCACCCTCTTTCTTCCCTGGATTAACATTCTCAGGTGTGTTGTCCCAACCATATTTAGTGACTCTTGAAACTAGATTTGTGAGCTTATTTAATGTTTGAGGGCAAAGAGGGTTTGGTTATGTGCTCTGATTAGTGAAGATGCTGAATGCAATGCAGTGTTGTGCCTAGAAAGGGAGAACATTCTAATAAATGTTGCTCTGTTGCAGGAGATCAATGCAATAGTAGCAAGCAAAGGAATTCAGGGAGATGATTTTCTGCCATCAGAAAGTTTAATATTGTTCTCTACCAGTCAGTCTTGAGCATTCTTTACTGTTTGCCTTCTAGTTAATGGTGAACCTTACTTTATCCTAGTTTGGGGCAGCAGTTCCTGTTTGTGACTTAATGGTAGCTACTGGAAAGCTGCCAACAGCTTTGGAATGAAGCCTAAATTTTGCTTTGTGTGTGTCATACAGGAATTTGTGGGAGAGGTTGCTAGACTTGTTCTTTTAATGTAGATGCATTCCTTTTGCCTTGCAAGAGTATTTAAAGTGCCAGCTATACAAGTTGAAAAACTACTATTATTATTATTATTCATTCCAAATAAAACTAAGAAAAGAAAATAAATATGAGTGTTAGCAGTCAAGCTGCTAAATGTGTTGTTGACATTTGGATAGTAATTTTCCAAGTGTAATTATTAAGTACATTGACATCTTCCACACTTATGACAGTGGAGTTGCATGCTTGTTTGTACAATAATGAGTCTTTTAATACTTCTGTCTGGTTCCACGTGATACTTGGCCTTTCCTGCCTTGTTCTTAAACTAAATAAATGGCTGATAAGAGACTACCAAGTCCCACAAAAATAAGGTATGGACAAACTTTAATGTTTCCCCCCCAGCTCTAATAACACAAGTCAGCATGGGTGCCTTTGTTTTCCGTGTGCACTGGTTTTATAGATATTGGCAGAAATGTGAATAGTTCTGGGAGCACTTCTAATTACCACAGGTGAAGCAATAGCAACCTCACCTGAATAGTTTAAAAATGATGACCTACCTTTAATGTGGTAGAGATGAAGTAGCAGATCTCTGCCCCCCCCCCCCCGCTTTCTACATGCTGTATTTACCCAAATCCAAGACAACTTTGAATTTAAGATAACCCCCTACAAATTAAGTTCTATACTTGGAAAATTAAATATTTGTTATAATTCACATGTAGAAAATCTAATTATTGGAGGGTTGTCTTAAAATCTTTTCCCCCATCACTGTGACACGGAGAGCAGCGGTGGTAGGGCAGCAAGTAGCGGGGGAACAGATGGTCTGAACCCAGTCGCTTGCCTACCCTGCACCTTGCTGCTCCCTGGCTCTGTGGTGGGTCCCTCACTACTTCCTGGGTCTGCTCGGGACCCATTTTTCCTGAGTAAATATGGTCATTCAGTAAAAATGAAAGGGAGCTGTCTATAATTTTTTTTAAAGATGTTTGAGGTGTAATAGGATTGTCTCTGTGATTTCTGTTCTATTGATGACTCTCTCTCCCCTCTGTCTTCTCCCCCCATCTTCCCCTCCATCTTCGCCCTCCCCCACAGATCTACCATGGTGGTTGCTTTTAATTCGGCAGAAAGCATTGATTGGCAAACTCCCAGGAGGCCATGAAGTGTGCAAAATAACCAAGATTGCAGTGATTCCACTCTCTGAAACAGAGCCTCAGGATCTGGAGCTGGAGGTATAATTTTAAAATTGTGACTTCTATTTTAAAAGCCCAGCAGTTAGGGGAAAAAAAAGTGCTTTGTCTGCACAGGGAGGGTTAAATATGAAATGTGTGTGCATATCCAATCAGCAGATATGCTCACACCACCTTCTGGTCACAGGACCCATTTTTCTTATGTCATCTACTAATATATCTACGTGCAGACATGTACATAAAGACCATTTTGTTATCGCCCTTGTCTTTGTTGTTACCCTTTCTTACTCAGGTAGAAGGGCATTTCATTTAAATGGAAAAACACTAGGACAAATAGCCAGTCACAGCCAGAGCTAGTTCTTTTAGGTGGACTTTCAACAAAACAGAAAATCATTTTGCAAGGAACTTACTGCTGAGTCTCCTGATAAATGTAAGACAGATGAGGTGGGACAGGAACCTTGTAAAAAGGAAATTTCTCTAACTTGCCCTTTTAGGAGATAGGCGAGCTCCTTCCAGGGCTCTGTGTGTGTTGGTACTGTTGAAAGAGTGCTATTTTACCCTCTTAATTTGAGCATTGCTTGGCCTGAGTAGGAGGCAGCACGCTTCTGCATAGGTGCCCTGGGACCAATTTTGTAACGTGCCTCTTATAAAAGTCCTGTGTTGCCTTAAAGGGGCTTCTGTTGCTATGACTACTCTACTCGAGAACTGTCCTAAAGGAGAGGAACGAGGGGAAAACATACAAACTCAATAAAACCCAGAGGCAGTACTGACTTGCATCCTGGTTGAGGAGGAAAGGAGTGCAGAGGACTGGAGGCTCGCTAGTCTCCTTATGCCCTGTTGAGGAAGCTTGCAGAGTGACCACATGAGTGAGACTTGTGATGCTTCGAGGAAGGGCATAGTTTGCCACAGATAAAGAAGTCACCAGTTTCTCTCAATAAAACAGGGAGCATGCAGTCCATGATTTATGATAATCAGGAGTTTCATTAGAAGATGAATTACCATTGTGTGTGTGTGTGTGTGTGTGTGTGTGAGAGAGAGAGATTTGTTTTGTGGCTTTCAGTAAAATATCTTTCTGGTATACTGTAATACAGTACAATAAATTCAGTATCTTTGAGACATTTGTGTATCCAGCATGCATTGGCTGAAGATCTGTTAGGACATGGGTTTTCAAGCTTTTTAATAAGTGTACCCCCAGCAGCTGGATGCAAGGCGGGGGGAAGGGGGGAGTGGTGCGTGGCCAGATGTGGAGCAGCGGGGTGGTGGGTGGCGGTGGCAGCTGCCTTGTGCGAGCGAGGTCCCCCCTGCGTCCGGCTGGCTGGACGGCTCCTGTGTGGCCTGCAGAGGGGTGCCGCTGCCCTCGCCCCCTACCCAGCCCTGCTCCTGGAAGCAGGCACAGCAACACACTCCACGCTGCTGTGGGGGCTGCCAGGAAGCCGAGTCTGGCAGCTGTGCTGCCCCCACCCCGGCACACATCTACAGGTGGCAGGGCTGGCCACATGCGCCATAGCCTGGGATGCCCCCTCTGTACCTGGGCTGGGTGGGGTGAGGGTCCTGCCACAGGCTAGATAGAATCTCTTGGCAGGTTGGATCCCTACCCAGGGCTGTATTTTGCCCACCCCTGGTCTAAACAGATGTAGCTGTTTATCAGTCAGAGGATACCATTACAGGCTGCTCCTCTGTAGCTGTTACAGCTGCATGATTTTGTAGCAATTGGTATATTTCAGGATGACAGAAAAATATATTTTAATTAAAGGCATAGGTTTTACATTTGCTCTGGAGATGGGTATGAAGTGTTAACTTTAACCGATTCACTGTCTTTACTACTTAGCTCTGTAAAAAGCATCATTTTGGAATAAACAAGCCAGAGAAGATTACGCAGTCTCCAGATGACACCAAATTTCTACTTAAGACCCTCACTCAAATTAAATCAAATGTGTCTGCTCCAAATAAAAAGAAGGTGAGGAACCATTTAATTTGTGTGACTTTTCAAAGCATTTAGACTTTGTCGTTTTGAAGATTGTGTTCAACTCATTTTGAGATCTCTAAGGTACTAGATGGCAGAAATCTGATTTAGCAAAACATCTTGGTTGACTAGTACTTTTCAAAATTTCCCAGATTACTTCCAGTTTCACGCTTCTGTCTATGGACTGTGCCCATGTCCATGTCGCTTGTACTTCTTTCTGGAAGCTGCTCTTGGCAGAAGTGTTTTCTGATTCATGAAATGCATGATGGCTTTGTGCCCAGTATCTCCATGCAGAATGAAGCGCTTTGTTTTATTAAAGTGTTTTGATCTTGCTTGTATTTTGATCAGCAATTTTTGGTGCCTTCTGTTGGGAATATATCTTTTAGGCTCTGTGTGCCAGTCTGTAACTTGATTTATTGAAAAGGATATACTATTTTTTCTTGAAGATTAAAGAAAGTAAAGAGAAAGAGAAGCTGGAAAAGAGATTATTGGAGGAACTATTTAAAATGTTCATGGATTCGGACTCCTTCTACTACAGTCTGACTTATGACCTAACAAACTCTGTACAGAGGCAAAGTGCATGTGAGAAAACTGATTTGCCACTCTGGAGGAAAGTAAGTATTTTGCACAGTAATCCTATGAAGTAAATTTGTATCCTCAATATAGATTGACTATGTGCTCCAAGTTCTACTGGTATTCATTTGGCAGTTGGACTGGTCAGATCATCTGTGTAATTCTGATATACAGATATACAAAAATCTGACTAAGGTTTTGGTCCTACTGCAGGCTTCTTCCTAGTGCAGAGAGCAAAAATGATGAGAGCATCTCCAGAGCTCTGATTTTTCTCTCAATATTTCAGATAGCAAAAAGCAAAGAGGTGGGAACTGGATAACTATGCACAGGTGGTGACTGACTGTTGGACAGTCTCTCCTGTGACTTCACTGAGAAGCTCTGCAAAACCTCATTAAAAATACTGTAATTTTTACTCTGTTGCAGGTTGATGACAGATTCTTTTGGAACAAACACATGATTCAGGATCTCATAAACATTGGTGTGAGTAACTTGTCACTTACATAAATTATGTGTTCAGAGCTGATTAGAAAGAGTTTTTTTCTTTAGTAGGAGAATGTCCATGATTTTCTGCTTTCCTTGGAAATCAGTGTGCTGGACAGCTCAGTAATTGGACTATTCACCAGCCTCCAGGCATCTTAGTAGCTGGCCTGCTCCTGTCTTACCTTTTGGAGCGGGGCAGCCAGCTGGCAGGGTCATCAACTGCCTATTTGGCAAGTGGCCAGTTTGAAGTATCCTGTCCATATTAGACATGTGTAGGAATCGGTTCCAACTCAGCAGCACAGAATAGTATTATGCATGCTTTATGACAGAACTGACCTGACAAGCCAGCTGCCTGGGGAATTGGGGAGCCTGGATTCTAGTTCAGCTTCTGTTTTCTTAACACCATTTTTCCAGCCTTTTCCTTCTGTGAAGAACTTTGAATTTTTAAAATACTTTTTTCCAGCTTGAGAAATGAGGCTTTTTCAAGAGGAAGGCTGTTCCCCATGTTACTTATAGTGCAGGTAGCATCTGGGAACTGTTGTGTTAGTGTTAATTTTTATGACTAATGGACTAGCCTTGAAGGTGGCATATAACCTACTTTTTAATGAAGCTTTTCTAATTTATATTTAAGATACTAACCTAAATTTTCAAGATTACTGTAGTAGAATAGCAGAGTTCCTAACCATTTAAAAGGTCAACATGTATAATAAAGCACAAAGACTTTCTTCTGGTAAAGGTGACACATTTGGGCTTGCTAGAAACTTCAAGACATTTTCAGATACTAATTTTGATCACTGTACACTTGATCTGAAACTCTTCTGTTTGTAAGAACTTAATTCAAAAGATGAATGAAACATGTAATTCTTGTGGCACCTTATCTTGACAGGGTCCTTTTACTCAAAGTATTTTCATTGTTGACAATGATTCCAAAGAGCCAGACAAAGTAAATTATTGTTAATGTGGGAAGAGATGAATTTTACAAAAGTGAAGAAAGCTGATTTTTTTTACCCCCACCCAGTACCAATAGAGAGAGGTAGTTAGTCGCATTAATCTTTAAGGCTAGGGACAGACATTTAAAAAGCCTGAGCGTTAGTCTAACTTGGCTAGGCTGAAACAGTTTGCAAGTGTACAGACATTCCCTCTGGACTGAGCCTCCCTTCCCTTGTACACTGCTGAGCTGAGGAGGTGTGGCCAGGTTCTGGCAGGATGCTCTGATTAGGGAGGGGATCCCCCTCCTTCTCTACTCCTGACACGTGAGTTGATAACTCAGCGTTTAGCACCCCATCAAGAAAACAAAAGCCTCTCCCATTAGTTCAAGCTCTTCCTAAACAACAAGGAAGGAATGGAGGGACATTACCAGCTGACCTGTTGATTAGCTCCAAAAAGCTGTAAATGGACACTGTCCTGTCTAACTTACACAGACACCTCTCAGCATTAGCTAGCATACCACAGTCTGGCTATGTCTGTGCTGTGGGAGAGGGGACGTGGGTAATCCCTACTTGAGCAGGGAGTGGTGGGGTGGGTGGAGCAGGAGGGAAGCCAGGCAGAGACTGCTGGAGCTCCAGCCAGGGAGCAGAGGGGGGAGCCAGTCCTGCACTGGAGCAGAGAGCCCCTCTCAGGGCTACAAAGCATCTGGGATGCTGGGGGATAACTCTGGTTTAAGTTAAACCAGACAGACATTGCATAAACCGGTTTGACCCAAATCAGTTAAGTCTGATACTACATTTAACCAGGTTTATCTCAAACTGGTTTTGGCCATTTTGATATTGGTTTATGTGCACTGAATGTCTGTTCTGTTACAAGTTTAAACCAGTTTCTGATCACTTATCCAGTTTTATGTGTAATGTCTGTCCTTAACCTAAGACAGTGCTAATAAAGGAGGTGGTGTTTTTCTGGTAACTTCTGTGAGAGTAGAGCTTGGTTGGTAAACCACCATGACAGTTAAGGGTGGTGTCATCTGTGCAACAGTGGACATTTATTATGGATGTTAGAAATTTCAGTATGCATATCTTAATTCGATTTAATTACAGGAGTTTTCTCCATCCTTGCCTGGGAAGGATATTCTTCATTCTTCCACTTGACAGATCATTTGAATTTTGTATTTTAATGAAGAATAAATTCAAGCAGGAGACCCTAAAGAGTAATACATATTCACCTTCGAAACAAGCTGTGGTCTATTTTTAAAGTATAATTAAAGGGGCTTGGTTTCTTTTTGGACAGCATAGAAGCAGTCACTCTTTGCGGTCTTAAGTAAGATTTATAGCCAAAATCTATATAGACCAAAAAGCTTCTTGCTGTCTATTTTTTCTTTTTCTGTCTCTTGCCGGTTAAATTGCTCAAACTGAAGAAATTGATGAACTTACCGATAAGGGAGAATGACAATATTGTTCTAATTTTCAAGGCAAACTTTTTTGACTGTGTGCTGGGTGAGAATTTAGGCAGGAGAAGCCAAAAAGTTGTGGGACACTGTTTTGAGTTGATGGCTTATGTAGAAGCCCATCACGAGATAAGAAAAACAACCTAATTTCCCAAGCAAGCTGTAAATTCAGTTATGCTGCTTTTTCCCATATGCTTTTGGAATTATTTAGGTATTTTGCATCTGGAAGGTCAGAGTGGAGTCTTTCCACTATGACATGAATAAAATCCTAGAAGTATTTGTTACTAATTTTAGTTAACTTTAGTCAATGAGCCTTAAAGCAAAAGAACGTATTTGACTACTGTCAAAAGAGAAAATATATAAAATCCATGTGAAAGTGTAACTTTCAATTAATAAAAAGGGCACACTTCTTAATACAGCATATAACTCTCTACTCTTGCTCTTCACCCTGTCCTAAACAAAAAGTCCTTTGAGTTAACTAATTAAAAGCATCAGAGCCTTTAGAAGAAACTAAATGATGAGACAAGGGAGTCTGAATTTTGGTTGGACTGGGTTAGATATTGAGAAGACCTTTTCAGATGTAGAATAACACCAGGCATTCTTGATATAATAATAACTATCAGAAGCCTTTACACATTGAGCAGATATTTAGGGTGTCCCCCAGCCCTCTCCCCCGCCATATTACAACTGTTAATGTAATATTTTGTAATTTACAGAATGATGAAGTAGACTTCTGGATTATACCCATCATTCAGGGGTTTGTACAGATTGAAGAGCTTGTAGTTAATTACAATGAGTCATCCGATGATGAGAAAAGCAGTCCAGAGACGCCTCCTCAGGAGTCTACTTGTGTTGATGACATTCACCCACGATTTCTGGTTGCGCTCATCTCACGCCGAAGTCGGCATAGAGCTGGTAAGCACAGAGGCCCAAAATGAGCCCAAGTATAATTTACAAACAATATTAAATTAGATGCAACTCTAAATTAATTCCTGAAATGTAAAAGTAAAACTTTTAAGAGTGTTGCATGAGTGGTTAAATGTATCTTTTTTCTGTGGGTATCTACCATAACCTAATATTTACTTTATAAAGGACTTCACATTTCCTGCTGCACTTGTTCAGCTGTTCCTTCTGTGGGTTTCCTTACGTCTATTATTTTCATTTTCATAATAGTTGGGAAGAGTTCACTGTTTACCTTTAAAAAAAAAAATCAGAACCCTGGTGGCTATAGCTTTAATATGAAACATATTAAACATTTTAAATGCTTATTTGTAAGTATTCAAATAATTTTATGAGGTTGGAGCATCACTGTTTTTACTAACAGGTTGACTTAACAGATCAGATCTTGATGTCTTAATAACATTATTTTGTACAGCACTTCAAGAATAATTGTTGGATGTGTTCCCAAATATTACCATTTTTATCTTTCTTGCTTACATCTGTGTTTTGCCTTATTATTCCAGGTCGATTCTATCTTAAGGAGCTGTCTCAAAGCATGTACTGGTTATTCCTTCCTAACTTTTCTGCAAATTTCAGTAATTGTGCAGGGTACTTCTTATACCTGCGACTAATTTAGTGTTAAAACTACAATATTAAGAAAAAATGGTTCCTTTACATTTATAAATAGACTTTGGCAATCTATCCTGTACCTGCTTGAGGACCTCTGGAATTATTTTTTGGGGATGAGGGGAAGAAAAGGATGCGTGATTTTTAAAGTGTAGACATTGCCAATAAGCTTAACACTATATTACTACTTTTACTTGTTCACCCATACTACAGTTTAATTAAGGCATTGCAATGAGATTCTAAAATTTGGTGCATCAGACTTTTATACTTGTTTTTCATGCTTCCACTTCGTATTTAACTGTATTTGAATGTAACTTCATCCACTTTTGTCCTTTTTAGATTCCAGATACAAGCCATCATAGTTTCCAAACTACTATACTTGACAGTCAAGCACAGGGACAGTAGATTAAAATAATCTCAGTAGTGATAACTGTTTTAAAATGCACAGATGTCAATATGTAGACAAAAAAAATAATTCCCCCCCCCCATCAAGTATTCTGCAGCTGAATCTTCAAACTTCTCATGGGACTTTCCTGTTTACCATTGTGTAAATTAGAGCATCTCTTTTGGCTTGTGATTTCAAATTTTAGTTTTTAGTGTGTTATGTTCAGCTGGTGGAACAGTGAACCTGTTTCCTATTCTGTCAAGGTTAGTTGCTGTTTAGAAAGAATGAATTACTCTTCATGTGTAGAGTTATGTATAATTAATTCTTAGAGTTCACTTAGTGCAGTGCCTGAAAACTGTATGGTCCTATTAAAAACAACAACAAAAAACAAACAAAAAACCTCTACAATCTATTAAACCCCCCAAACCAAAAGGAAAACCCCCTCTCCCTCCCATCATCCTTCATCCTCCATAATTTTTTATTTGCCTATAATTAACTTCCACTTCAGTTGTTGGGTTTTTTGTCTTCATCTTGTCCTTTCAATTTTAGTGCTCATGGAACATTCCCCATAACAGAACAAGTTTTTGCTGACCAACATACTTCTAGGAGTTGCTTGGGGCAAGACTTATTCAAAGTTTGTTTCATCCCTATCAAATTAATATAGAATGGGATATAGGAGCCAGAAGAGGGAATCTTCCAGGTTTTGTGTTTTTGTAACTTGGGTGTCCCCTAGATTATTGTCTATCTGCGATGTTTGTATTTTCTCCGTGAACCACTTCTCAGAAGTGTGCAGAATATTTTTATAGAGGGTTAATTTTAAAAAAAATAAACTGATCCCTTTCCTCCTATCTTCTAGGCATGCGGTATAAGCGAAGAGGTGTTGATAAAAATGGGAATGTGGCAAATTATGTGGAAACAGAGCAGTTGATTCATGTTCATAATCATACACTTTCATTTATTCAAACGCGAGGCTCTGTGCCAGTGTTCTGGAGTCAAGTGGGATACAGATACAACCCACGGCCACGACTAGACAAGAGTAAGTTTTGGTAATTTTTTGGAGTCTGTAAAGAAAAAGAGATCACTTAAACAGTGTGTGAACATTTTTGTTTTTCTGTTGATCTTTTACTACTATTCCAGGTTATTTATTTGACCAAAAAAAAGAGGTTGGTTCAATTAAAATGAACTTCAGTTCTTAAGCTGAGCTTGAAATTTGATTAAGGATCCTCTATCCCAGATGCAGAGGGATAATTACATCCCAGTATATAACTCAGTGCCTTTTCCATATGCCATCTTATCTGCTGTGGCATGTTACTGAGTCAGGGAAAGGGGAGCATCTAATCATCTCTTAGGCCAATCCAAAACTTAGGAGGCAGTGTGAAATTCACACCACGGAATTCATTAACATATAGGATTCCTGCTCCTGCCTGGAAAGAGACTAATCTTCTGGGTAACTCAAGGCCAGTGTTTTGCACACATTTTCTCTCGTTTGGAACATAAAGGGTCTTAATGCATCAAAATTAAAGCCTAATGATTAACTTTGCCAGTGTAAGAGGGTCAGAGAGCCTGTGCCGGGGATCAAGTTTAGATTGATATTCAGACCTCTGGATTCTTCCCTGCAATACACTTATGAGGGTTGAGGTTTTCATTGCTCAGTATCTCAGCAGATTCACAATTTTATAAACAGAAAGGAATGGAGGAATACTCAAAGGAAAAAGTCTTCAGCGTTCTCCTGGATCAGAGATATAGATGGTAAATAGATCCGATGTAGTAGAGTCCCTTATACCACAAGCATCTAATTCTGCAAGACCCAGCATTTTTGTATTTACCTTCTCTTTCTGATAGGTTCAGGGAATTTTTAGCCATCTGCCACTTAAAATTAGTTGTTTCAGCACTTCTCCCTGGAGGGTTTATGATTTTGCTGTTTTCTGCCTTTTTTTAAGGCAAGGATTGCTTTCCTGTGTTTGGCTTCTTGGCCTCTTGTGGGCTAAGATCAAGAAGCTGCCTTCCCCTCCTCACCCCCATCCCTCTTATGTTAGTCCCTCATTCGGGCACTCTGTATTTCTCTTATGGCTTTGTCATTTTTTGGTTCATGACTCTTAACATTTAGTAATATAATTCAATCTAGCTGAATGGGGCCTTGCCTCCTACTTGGGACTCTAGATGCCATCTTGGTCAATAACCAGTGCTGATTCTGAGTCTGGTTGTGGTGCTAGAGTGGTGGTTAGTAATAATTTTGCTGATGTCACCTGTCATGGTTCAAGAATCACTAGCAGATTCAAATGACAAGTGAGGACCTGTGCTAGAAACCTTAAAATAGCTGAAAAGGGATGATTTGTTGCCAGATTTTAGAAGTGGCAAGTGTAAATGAATTCCTTTTTAAAGTGAGAAAACCACAGTGAGTCACAGGAGCAAAGGGAAATCCAAAAAATACCCAGATCACATGAAAACAGTTGGAAGTAACAAAACGCTGATGACTTTCTCTGTTTGTGACATCTGTTCAGGAGTTGGACAAATCATTAATCTTGTGATCAGCTCTTTTGGCTACCTAGTAGGATTGTTAGGAAGCTTTAAGACTAATTCAGTCGTTTTGAAAGACTTCATATAAAGTAGTTGTGGTGATGAGTTGTAAAGAAAAAGATAAAAACTAGTCAGTTAATTGGTAGTACAACTTTTTAAGATCTATTTAGAAACAAAATTTCTCCCTTGTATAGTCTTTGAACTTTTTTCAGAGTTTGTTATCTTCCTTGCTGTCTTGGCGTAAGACTTGCTTTCATCAGATCTATGAGCTCTTTCAAAGAGATTTTTAAAACTTCTTTCCTGTGAAATGGGCTTGTCTGAAGCATGAAGCTAAGGCAGAGTGGTTGAACAGGTTTGTAAGTAAGAAAGGGAATAACCTTGAATGGAATCGGATTGGCTGAAATAGAAAAGCAAATAAGTCAAGCTACTGTATTCATGGATACACAGTGGTGGTAATCAGTACCACAGTATTGCTCTAATACGATCAGTTAATTGCATCTCTACCTTTTGCTGTAGGACTGGTTTTCAACCTGTGGTCCGTGGACCCTTGATGGTCCACAGACTGTGTCTAAGGACTTTACGAAAGATGACTATGATCAGTCAAAAGTATCTGAATACCCACACTTACAATTCAAAGTGGTCTGCACCTATTCGAAATTTCCAGATGGGTCTGCACCTTGAATCATAATTTTTTAGGGGTTTGCAAATGAAAGAAGTTTAGGACATTCAAGAAATGCATAGTATATTAATTTGATTCTGTACAAGATATTACCAAATACAAGGTACCATGATTCCTATTCTTCCTAGCTACCTTAGACATTGATATTGTGGACTTGAATATATTTTCATAGTTTGCATATGAATAGAGAGAAAAAACTTGATTTTCACAACTTCATTCTGCTCTGTAGGTGAAAAGGAAACTGTATCCTATTTCCGTGCACATTTTGAAGAACAACTGAAAATTTACAAGAAACAGGTGAGTTTTAGGTCTGTAATAAAGTTTTTGTTGGTCTGAATTAACTGCTTATTGAGTCTAAAGGCACAATTAAAAATAGGACTTTAATTTTAGCTTTTGAGTGTTCTTTGGCAGGTGTTTCTAAGAATATTAGTTAAGCCCAGTTTTTGGGTAACTATGTAGGCTTGATAAATCAGCAGTTCATTTTTATTAGAAATGAGCAACTATAGCAGGACACCTACTATAGTTTAAAAAAGGGAGAAATTGAAGTCTGTAAAGCAGGGGTGTCAACCATGGGGACTGCAGGCCAGATCTAGCTCACAGAGCCTATAATTCAGCCCCTGGCTGTTCCTTTTGCTGTGCCAGCTGGGCCCCTTGTGCAGTGTCTGGCAGTGCTACCCTAGGCAGTTGCTTGGGCCATGTCCCTTTGCTGCAGTGCCCATGCAGCTTGCTGCCGGTCCCTAGCTGTGCTGCTCACGTATGAGTGAGTGGCGTGGGTGGCAAAACCTGACACGTGGCCCCAGAGAGCAGCATGGACAGTGCAGCCCAGGACTTGGCCTTGGTGAGCGTTGTGACCTGGTCTCAGTGGAGCAGCCCTTCATGGCTGGCATCCTGGCTTGGCATCCCGGGTGCATGCTGCCTGCTAGGTCAGGCATTCAGTTGTGGGAGGCAAGTATCCATAGGCCTGAGTTTCACACCCCTGCTGTAGAGAATCAAAATAAGTTAAGTATCATTGTTTTCAACAGTTTTATTTTAGTGAGAGAATAGAGTTCAGAAGGTGATAATACCAAGATTTATAAAATGTAAAATTCTTTAACTTTTGAATAGGTCATTATTAATTTGGTGGATCAGACTGGACGAGAGAAAATTATTGGTGATGCTTTTCTAAAACAAGTGCTTCTGTACAACAATCCACGCCTCACTTATGTTTCCTTTGACTTCCATGAGCACTGGTAAGAGGGCTTTCAGATATGCTTATATGTAATATTTGCTAAAATGAGAGAGATGTTGCAGTGGGACTACTATGCTTCTCTAATAGTGCATGAAATGCATTTACTTTTACACAGCTAGAAATATTGCTTCCTATAAACTAGAATAATTAATATAACTCTGAGGTTTTTTGTAGTTTAGGCTGATGGTGTTTTCTTCTAGTATTTTATAAAAACAAATGAACAAAAAAATTATCCAAAACTTTTAATCCCCATTTTTTGCCTACTAGTTAAATCTGTAGTTTAACATTAGGGATAGCCCTATTTCACTTCACTGTGCATTCTTTTTCAGTCAGTCTCCTAGGCTTCATGGTATGTTTTTGTTTTTGTGCCCTTTCATATTGCAAATTGTACTGTACATTTTCTAGTATAGAATTTCATTGTATACACCTAAGAACATTAAGCACATGAAATGCCCTATGGTTCTTTCAGAATTCTGGCTCTGCTTGTTTGTATGCAGATGTGCTTTTTTTTGTTTTAATATGAACAGATGCTTAATTTTTATACTTACACTTAAAAATGTGCTCTTCTCTGAATAATAAATACTGTTCTAAAGTCACCCAGGGTATGCACTACATGTTAGTTATTCTGACTCGAGATAGCTAGTGATTCTATCATAGCCAGGTCTTATGATATGCAAATTCAGGGGTCCAGCTGTTGTAAGGTTCCTATTTCATAAGACATTCTAGATGGTATGCTTTACTGGAAAAATGACTCTGCAGTTAATGTTCTGATTAATTGACTGAAGGCATATGTGCCATTAGGGGGCATTGTGCTTCTGGAAAATGCTCTTAAATGGGAGGTGATTAAAAACATTAATAGACTTTAAAACAATGGCACACTTTTGTCATAGTGATGTCCTGACCTAATTTGAATTCAATATCTACTCTTTGCTTGCTTCCTTTCTATGGATCATTAATCTTTATTTCTATTTTGTCCTGGGGAACAGTAGTTATTTGCTTATTACTCACTCAGAGATCAGAATCATGCACTTTTCATATAAACAGAAAGACATGAAATTTGTCTTGATAGTTTAGGGATTTTTTAAATTGGTGAAGTTATTAAAAAAAAAACAAACGGAATTTCAATAGTTCAGCTTATCTTATTTTTCACAAACACTAAAATAGATCCTTTTTGTTTGAACCATGCTTTACACCAGGAGATGACAATGTTTTGGGCCAGAGTGCAAAAAACACCCCAACCCTAACCCACAGCTCAACTTGGCATGCAGGGGCAAACTGGGGGGAGCTGCAAGGGGCCCGATCTTCGTTGCTGGCAGTGGCTGCATGTGTGCCTCTGGGAGGACAGTCGGGGAGGGACTGGGGCTGCCCTGCCATGGCCCCTTCCCTGCCCTACACCCCAAGGCATGTATGCAGTCACTGGCACGGCACCAGTGCTGGAGCTCCTGAGCCCAATACAGCTGTCTGCAGGCTACTTGCTGCCTGCTGCAGCTGCCCACAGCTTGGGCCAACTGTGGCAGGCAGCCTGGGGCAGTGTAAACCCAGCCCCTCCCCAGCCATCTGCATGGAAATACGGGTGCAGCTGCCGTCACAGAACCTGGCCAAGGACTTTGGAGCCCAGTGCAGCTGTCTTCAGCCTCGTGGCTGCTTGCCACAGCTGGCCCAAGCTCTGGGCAGCTGTAGCAGGCAACTGGCAGGCTGCAAACAGCTGTACCAGGCTGTGGAGTACTGGCTCTGTGATGGCGGTGGCTGTAAGCATGCCTCCAGGAGGGGGAGAGGCTGGAGT